CTTCCAGAACCTGGACGACACGATCCTGATCGAGTCGGATTCCTACCCCAGGAGTCAAACCTACACGCAGGTCGAGACCGGTGCTGCCATCACGGCGGCCCTGGATGCGCTCAATCTCTCCCAGTACCGCACGGAGGCCCAGGTGCTGGCGCTCATCGCCGGCGAGCTGGTGCCCTACTGGGACCAAAGCGAAGTGTCCAGCTACGTTGCGGGAGAGCTGTCCAACTTTGCAACGAACGCCTCGGTTTCCTCGGCCATCAGCTCGGCCCTGTCGAGCTATGATGACAGCGGGGCCGTCGATTCGAAGATCGTCACAGCACTCCTGGACTTTTCGACCTCCGCAGAGGTCACACAGGAGATCGCCGATGCCCTGAGCAACGTGGACCTGTCCGGCTACTATGATCAGGCCCAGACACAGGCCTTTGTGGCCGGCGAGCTCCTCGCGTACTACCCTCGCACGGAGCTGGATTCTCTCCTCACAGCCACCCTCACGCAATATTGGACCAGCGGTCGCACGCAGAGCGAGATCGACGACGCCCTGGCGGGCTCGGGCTTCCTGGACCAAACAGCGGGGGACGCCCGCTACTTCGCGCGGGCTCCCGGCGCGGAGTCGGGCCAGATCTTCAATCTCGTCCAAGAGCAATTCGTCCCGAGGATCGTGCGCAATTTGCTCTTGGAGGCGCCCCTGGTGGGCGACGCGATTCTGGGCAACCAGTCCACCCTGCGCATTCGGAGCGACAGCTGGTCCAAGGCCGAAGCGGACGGCCGCTTCCTGCGCACGAACGACCTGGGCCCGCTCGATGCGCGCTACTTCGTGACCACTCCCGGCGCCGAGGGAGGAGGCATCTTCAACCTGGCGCAGACCCAGTTCACTCCGAACATCATCCGCAATTTGCTCTGCCAAACGCCGCTTTCAGCGCAACCCATCCTGGGGAATGGGTCGACCCTCCAAATCTCCTGCGACTGCTGGTCCAAGGGCCAGTCGGACGGGCGGTATCCTCTGGTCGCCACCTTCAACAGCCTGGGCTCCACGGTCACCTCCATCGACACCCGCGTCACGGCCCTGGAGAGCAGCGGCGGGGTCGCCCCCACGGCGGACCTCGCGGTCAACAGCCTCACGGCCACGAGCTTCGTGGACACGCCCGAGCTCCGGAGCTCGGCGGGGGACCTGCAGGTCCAGAACGCTTTGGTGACGATCCGCAAGGAGGACGGGGCGCTGCTGGCCAGCTTCGCCGACGGCGGCATCAGCATGGACCGGGACGTCACGGTGGCCGCGGCCAGCACCCTCAACGCAACCACGGCGGACTTCGCCCAGTTCTTCGTGGGCAGCACCGCCGCCACGGGAGCCTTCAACACCAGCTCCACCATCGCGGCCACGGGGCTCGTCTCCGCCAACGGCGGCCTGGCCGTGGCGGGCACCACCACCTCCGACAGCGTGGAGACGGACGACTACCTCACCATCACCGGCGGCACCCAGGGCATCTACGTGAACACGGGGGCGGTCTACATGGGCGGTGCTGTGGTGGCGGACCCCGGGCTCGTGACGACCAGCAGCTGGCTGCAGCTGGTCGGCGGCACGCAGGGCGTGCAGCACCAGTGCGAGAGGATGCAGGTGACGGGCAATCAGTCCATCGTCACCGCCGAGGTCGAGAACACCTCGGCCACGGGCTTTGCCAGGCTGCGGCTGCTGGCCAACGGGGGCCTGGGCGGCGCGGACCTGGAGGTGGCCTCCAGCGGCGGCTGCACCCTGGCGAGCATCAACCAGACCATCAGCCTCACGAACGTCGGCGGCGGTTAAGCAGCGCAAATGTGATCATCTACCCCCAGAGCAACCCGTCGCTGCCCGGCTGGATGGTGGCCACCTACGGCTTCACGGAGCTCTCGGATCGGAGCGTGAAGACCAATGTGCGGACGCTGAAGCACCGGGACATGCGGGAGATCTTCGATGCGGTGGAGGCCAAGATCTACGACCGGTCCGACAGCGGGCAGAAGGACCAGGTGGGCTTGCCCAAGAGGTCCAGGCGGCCGGGAAGCTCGGCCCCATGTTCACCCACGAGACGGACGAGGGGCTGCTGACGTTGAACTACCAGCGCATGGTGGCCGTGCTTTGGGGCACGGTGAAGGAGCTACAGAAGCGGGTCGACAAGCTCGAGAAGAAGAAGGGGCGCAAGGGCGACTCGGATTGAGCCCGAAAGGGCTATTAGCCCAGATTGTACCTCCAGGTATGGTCTGGGCTAATAGCGGTTTTGGGTGTGTTTTGAGTCCCGAAAGGGCTATTAGTCCAGATTGTACCTCCAGGTATGGTCTGGACTAATAGCGGTTTTGGATGTGTTTTGCGCCCCGAAAGGGCTATTCCTCTCGATCATACCTCCAGGTATGGTCTGGAGGAATAGCGGTTTTGAGGGTGTTTTGGGTCCCGAAAAGGCTATTCCTCTCGATCGCCTTTCTACAGGCAATCGAGAGGAATAGCGGTTTCGGGTGTGTTTTGGGCCCGAAAAGGCTATTAGTCCAGGGTGTACCTCCAGGTATGGCCTGGACTAATAGCGGTTTTGGGGGCGTTTTGGGCCCCGAAAGGGCTATTCCCCCAGGGCGTGCCTCCAGGTATGGCCTAGGGTAATAGCGGTTTCCGAAGCTTTGTGTGCCCAAAAAAGCTATTCCTCCAAACCATCTGCTGAGATATGATCTGGAGGAATAGCATTTAAATGGCAGAGGACGGCGCAATGGAGCTCTTAGGGCGGCTCGCCCGCGACTTTAACGTGCGGGACCCCAGGAAGCTCTACCAGATAGCCCGCCGGGAGTTTCCGGAGCGGCGGGACCTCACGAGTGCGCGGGCCCAGGCGGCATTGCGCAGCGACGTGGCGCGGCAGGTGCTCGCGCCCAAGCCCAGGAGCCTGGGGAAGAGTGCGGCGGAGGGGCCGAACGACCGCTTGCAAGCGGACCTGGTGGATTTCTCCCAGAACACGAGGGGGGCGAACAAGTACGGGCTTGTGGTCACGGATGTGTTCACCCGGGAGGTGGCCACGAAGGCCCTGCCCGACAAGCGGGCGGAGACCGTCACCCGGGCGGCCGCGGAGATCATGGTCCAGGACGAAACCAACGTCGTGGTCACGACGGACATGGGGAACGAATTTCGGGGTTTGGAGGCGGCGCTGCCCGGAGGCGCGGTGCACCGCCAGAAGGACCCCTCGGACCGCAATGCGACGGCGGTGGTGGACCGGGCGATTCAAACTTTGAAGAAGGATCTGGCGGGCAAGGTGGCCCGGGACGCTGGGGGCTGGGGCGACCATGTGGAAGAGGCGGCGGAAGCCTACAATGCCAGGCCGCATGCGGCCGTGACGGTGGCTCCGGAGGATGTGGAGACCATGCCGGCTGCGAGCTTCCGGGTCTACCAAGACAATGCAGCGAAGTTCAAGCACAATGACGAGTTGACGAGGAGCCGTCAGCGGCGGCTCGAGGAGGCGGGGGCGTTCCGGGCCCCCACCAATGCGGCGAGGAGCTTCCAGCCCCAGTACGGGGCGGTGCGGGAGGTTTCGAGCTACGATTCGATGACGGTGCGGGCCACCGACGGTTCGGTGGCCCTGCTGAAGCATGCGCTTCCTGTGCCTCGCGGCTCCGCGGAGCCTAAGGCGCGGCTGACTCGGCGGCCGGTACCGTTAGCGGTGCGGCAACTTAGAGATTTCAACCCCGGGCCCGCGGCGCCGCCGTGACAGCTTTGGACTCCACCCCGAGGAGCCAATTAATTAATTATTTAATTATTTATTTTTTTTTGGCGGCGGGCTGGGGCTTGTCATTCTTGTCATTCCTGTCATTTGGAGAAGCTTGTCGGTAAGGCTAAAAAAGCCGCGAATCTTGTTCGTTTCTGGACCTTGCCGACAAGCTTCTCCAAATGACAGGAATGACAAGAATGACAAGCCCCCCAGCTCGCCCGAAAAAAAAAAGAAATAATTAAATAATTAATTATGGCCTCTATCCCGGGGAAGTCGCAGGGCACTCGCACGACACTCGCAAGGCACTCACAGGGCAGCCCACAGCACCGCCGTGAGAGCTTCGGACTCCACCCCGAGGAGCCAATTCATTAATTATTTAATTATTTATTTTTTTTTGGCGGCGGGCTGGGGGGGCTTGTCATTCTTGTCATTCCTGTCATTTGGAGAAGCTTGTCGGTAAGGTCCAGAAACGAACAAGATTCGCGGCTTTTTTAGCCTTGCCGACAAGCTTCTCCAAATGACAGGAATGACAAGAATGACAAGCCCCCCAGCTCGCCCGAAAAAAAAAATAAATAATTAAATAATTAATTATGGCCTCTATCCCCGGGAAGTCGCAGGGCACTCGCACGACACTCGCAAGGCACTCACAGAGCCTAGTAGGGATTTAGGGTTCTAGGGGTTCGGGTCGAGCGGGGTTCGGGAGTTAGGGACAACCGGGAGGCAGCTTGCGAGACGCGAGCCTGGAAGTTCTCGGAGGGCAGGGATTGCTCACAGTCACTCGCACAACACTCACAGGGCACTCGCAAGGCGCTCACAGGGCACTCACAGGGCACTCGCAAGGCACTCACAGGGCAGACTAGTAGGGATTTAGGGTTCTAGGGGTTCGGGTGCCGGGGGTTCGGGAGTTAGGGACAACCCGGGGAGCTTGCGAAGCGCGAGCCTGGAAGTTCTCGGAAGGACCTGGGCGTGCAGCAAAAAAAACACTCGCAGGGCACTCACAGGGCACTCGCAGGGCACTCGCAGGGCACTCGCAGGGCACTCGCAGGGCACTCACACAATCACAGGGCGCTTGGGACTGCTTCGTTTGTTTCACAGCCCTGACGGCACCCACAGAGGAGCATTGTCGGCCATACGGCATCTGTGCACATGCCTTGCAAGCCTCCCAAGCGGAGGGAGCGCGGCCATAGCTGAAAAAACTCTGCGACCTCCATGCGACATCGAGCCTTAAGGCCTCTCAAGCGCCGCTAACGGAAGGCCGGGAACCCATGCACTTCAGAAACTTGTAAAGAAGATCTAGGCCGCCTCGTAGCCCGAGAATCGGTAGGGCTCCGGCGGCGGAGCGATCACCATCCTCAGAACCTGCCTGCCATCTGGGCCCGGAACCAGCCGCTTGTAGACCCGTTTGGTCGCATCGCGGGGCTTGTCCGTGAAGCCGGCATTGGTCAGGTTCGGCATCAGCTGCCCCTCCTCCTCGGAACCCTGCAGGGCGCTCCTGCCGCTCTCGTGGACCTCGGCGATGGTCGAGGCCTCATTGATGTCATCCGTGTAGGTGACCTTCGCGAGCCAACGGAGCCAGCGGGATTCCTCGGGCGCCACGTAGAAGCACATCTCCGAGACCTGCCTGATCTTATGGGGGCGGGGCGCCACGTTCCTCGTGTGCTCCACCAGGTCCAGCAGGTGGTAGAACTCCGAGAGCCAGAAGAAGGCGCAGGCCGTGAGCTTGCCCTCGAGCACATCGTCCGCCAGCCGGGAGTCGCTCTGCTGATGGGTGGCCAGGTGCACGTTCTCCGTGAAGATGCTGGAGGCGGCGATGACATTGACTCTGGTGGAACTGCCGGTGTCCTGGCGCTCGTCGTGGGCGAGGCGGGGCTGGAAGTTCGAGGTCAGCACGATCAGAGCCGTCGGGGTGAAGGACTCGTTGCCGCCGCGGTAAAGGCCTCGGGAAGCGATCTCAGCACCTCGCTGCTCGCAGAGAGGCTTGAGGAGGGCCATGGAGATGCGCCGGTTGGGGACCTCCGAGATGAAGACGAACCTTGCCCCCTCGGTGGCCGAGAGGAAGGGCGAGCATCCTTCGATGGAGGTGTTGGCGCCCTTCATGCAGTAGGCCCATTTCAAAGCCGCGCAGTAGCCGCCCGTGGAGCCCGTGCCCGCAAGCTTCTGCATGATGGAGACGCCGAGGTCCTTGCCACTCTGTGCGGGCCCGCAGTTCCACATCAGCTCGCAGAAGGCCGGATGGCCCGCGATCGCCCGGGCGAGGTTCTTGCCCACGTAGACGGCCTCGTCCACGTCCTCGTTGGAGGCGAGCAGCCACTTCAGGAAGGGGTCGTAGGCGGAGAGCTTCTGGGCGTCCCTTCGGCGCATGCCGAACGTCTCCTCCGTGCGCAGGGAGTCCTCCACGACCGAGGCCCTCGGGCTCTTCTTCAAGAGCTCCATCAGCTCCTTCGCGGCCTTGCGCATCTCCTTGTTGCCCCACCACTCGGGATGCCTGTGCTTCCAGGGCATGCTGCGCTTGAAGAAGTCGCTCCTCTTGGCGCGGGAGAAGCTGCCGTCGCGGAAGTCGTAGACCCAGCCGTCCTCGAAGAGAACCCGGTGGTTGGTGCGCAGCGGGTCGTCCAGCTTGGGAGCAGGGCACCGCAGGTAGATCAGGGCCTCCTGCGCCAGGGCATTCAGGAAGGCCGGTCGCCCCAAGGGAACAGTGGGCTCGACGTGCGGTCGCAGTCTGTCGCCTCGACGGCCTTGCTTGAGAGTGCCATCAACCCAATGGCAGTGAACCGGTTCGAAGATCTCGCGATGCTGGCGGGCGAAGGCGTGGAGGCCTTTCTCACACACCTTGTGCACTTCCCACCGCCCTTTCTGAGGCTGGAACTGAAGGAACACGGAATCATTCTCTGGCACGAGCACATCGCTTTCCAAGCGAGCAGCCAGGACTCGTCCGAAGTCGACCGTGTTGTCGGTGGCGTTGGGTCTGGGATGATCCTCCGTCTCGCCTTGACCCATGCAGCGCCGGGTCACCAAGAGCGCTCGATGCAGTTCAGCCGCATCGAACGGGAGACTCGACACCGCCGCTGGCCCGTCCCACTCCTCCTCCGGAAACTGCTCCTTGGCCAGCTTGACCGGGTCCTGAGGCGCCTTGATCGTCACCTGCAGGAGCGGGTCGAGGTCGTTCAGGGCCGCCAGGAGAGCAGCCTCGCTCAAGCCGTTCAGCTGGATGCCGAGGCCGTCGTGCTCGTAGCTCAGGACCTTCGCCGGCACAGGGACCGCCGCGATCATGCGGTCGAGGAACTGCCGCTCGAGCTTGAAGTAGATCGCGGACATGAAGCTTCCCAGGGGGTACTTCTTGCCCTTGAAGAGCTCGAACCACTGAGCATGCTCCACCGCCAGGGCCTCCCCGAAGCTCCGCATGTCCTCGCCGAAGGACACCAGCTCCGCCTCCAGAGGGCTGTCGTTCTTCTCCAGCCCGAAGTCTTGGAGCCACGACTCCAGCTTGCCCATGAAGCCCAAGCGGATGAAGAGCCGCTTCGCCACGTCCCTGGAGCAGCCGTAGGCCTCGCGCACCGCCGCGACCATGCCGTCGCGGTCCTTGTTGTAGCGCTTCACCGCCTCGGGGCACTCCTTGAAGTTGGCCTCGAACTGCGAGAAGATGCTGTTGACCACGTCCACGTCCACCCAGCCGTCGATGCCCTTGCGGCAGATCTCCTTGACGAGTCGGCAGTGCGCGAAGGCCGAGGTGCAGGCATGGCTGTGCGCCACATCGCAGAAGACCACAGGCGGCTCCACGTCAAAGTCCACACCCGAGAAGCGGCGGCCGAGGATGTCGCCGGGCAACTTGCTCTCGCGCCAGCTTGTCGTGACGCAGCCATTGCCGCCCCGCCGGACCAAGAAGAAGCCGAGCGTTTCGAAGAGGCTGTACCCGGTGGCGAGGATCACCTTCCGCGCGCCGCGGAGCTTCATGAAGGCCTCGATGCTCGCCTTGTTCACCGGCTCCTCCACGATGAGCAAGTCCTCCGCCTTGCGCTTGCCGGTGCTGAGCGCCGAACTGGACGCCTCCTGAGCCGGAGGAGCCTCCTGAGCCGGAGGCGCGGTCTTCCTCGGCCGACCCGGTCCTCGCTTGGCCTTCGGAGCTGCCTTAGGTGGCGGCGCAGCTGCTGCTTTCGGAGCTGGCTCGGGCGCTGCCTTGGGAGCCGGAGGTGGTGCCGCTGTAGGCTCAGGCGTAGGGTCGCGGAGCTCCTGAAACAAAGCTTCTTCCCGAGGCGTGCGGCGGCCTCGACGGAAGGTGATGATGAAGCTCTCTGTCAGGAAGCCGATGTCTTTTTTGACATTGTCGAGCTCCTTGAACGCCTCCTCGGCTCGCGCCTTCTGCTCGGGAGAGCACTTGTCTGGGTGCGTCAGGACGCGCATCTTCTTGAAGCCCTGCTCCACAGTCGCCTCGGGGAACACTCGGAGCCCGAGACGAGCCACTAGCGTCAAGCATCCATCCAGCACGAGGTCTGCGGCCAACGCCCGCGCTCGCGAGCTCGTCATGATGAAAGCAGGGGCTTTCAGCAGGTGATCTCGAGATGCAAAAAATGCACTGCGACGCAAGGCTTGATGACTCCGAACACGGCACTCCGACAGCACTGCAGCTTTCACTAGAGAGAGCAGACCCCAAGCCCCAGAAGATGACTCGGCAAGCAAAGCAGCCTGAGCGCAGCGGCGAAGGGGCCGGGGCTCCCGGAGGTGAAGGAACGCAGGGCACTCTACAGGCGGGGAAGGGGACAGCACTCCTGCGCGCACACACTTGCACGACAGAAACCCTGAACCCTTCCAACACCACCCCGGCAAATCACTCTGAGTGAGAAGCTCCGCGGATTGATGAAGACGAGGACCTGGGCGGAGCGGGAAGTTAGGGAAGGCCTTAGGGGGGGAGAGGGTGCACTGGCAGAACAAAAAACGCAAAAAGCAAGATCCCTTTAACAGCGAGTGAAGCCGCTCTGGTGCGATTGCTGGCCTGTTTCTGCTCAGCTTCGACGGCTTCGTGCCGATCACTAAATCGGACCACTCCGAGCGACTCTCTGTACTATCGCCACGGAGGAATGGCCTCGGGTCTAGCCTCTGCAAGGCTGGCCTGCTCGGGTGGGAACTCGGATCACTCGCCGCCTCGCGCTATGTGCACCTGTTGCCGTGCGCCGGAGCTCATCCACGAAGTGGCCGTCATCGTTCTCCGATGGAAACTGCGCGACGACCTCGGTTTCGGCGTAGCGGCTGTTCCAGAGGATGTAGACCTTGCCGTCGGCTTCCCGAAGGAATAAGCGGGTCACTGGATCAAGGGTGAAATTCCTCACGACGCCCGTGTCCTGGAGGAACTTGAACTTGTGGCGGCGGATCTCCTTGCGCGACATGGTGGAAGCCTCCTGGAGGAACTGCTCGATGTCCCTCTCGCTGGTGCTCTCCAGCACCAGTGGCTTGGATCCGAACCTCGCCTTGAGTGCTTCGTGCAGCCGCGGAGCCGATCCACGCAGCACGAGATCCGCTACGACGGCCGTCGCATCAGAGCTCACCCGCCGAGTGTCGAGCGTCGCCGACATGGGCCACCGTCACAGCCTACAAACCTTCGGTCCCCTTCCTCGAGCTGAAAGCTTCAGAAAAAAAAACCGGGCTCGCAACACAGGCACGGCTCACTCGGCCAACCCCCAGGAAACCCGAACAACCCCCTAAGAAGAACACTCTGAGTTGAGCGCCCAAGCGAAGCGGAGCGCCCAAGCGAAGAAGGTCCGGACCTGGGAGCGAAGGCGGGGCCCGGGGTTCCCGGGACGAGGCGGGCTGCAGGGCACTCTAGTTACGGGCGGGGCGGGGGGAGCAGAAACAGGCACTCCTGCGCACGCAAACTTGCACGACACCCCACAAACCCTAAACCCTTCCAACACCAAAGCCCCGGCAAATCACTCCGAGTGAGAAGCTCCGCGGATCGATGAAGACGAGGACCTGGGCGGATGCGGGAAGTTGGGGAGGGCCTTACAGGGGAGAGGCGCGCTGGCAAAGCAGGGCAGTGAGAGGCAGCCTAGGGTAACCAAAAGGGTTAGGGAAGGGGAAAACCGAACACGGAAGCAACCCAAGCAAACTGAGGTCCCGACGCAAGCCCACCTACCCGCCCGACCGCCCGCAACTACCCCCCGCCCTACAAGCTTGAACCTGCGAGCGCGGAAACAAAAGAAATCAACGCTGGGATAGGGCGCAAGGCAGCTGGGTTCCAAGTTAGTTCGGGCTCGGGACTCCTGGGCACAAACAAGAGGCACTCAAGTTCAATCGGCCTTTTCAAAAACCTCGAGAACAGATACCGCTTGATCATAGCCAGAAGCCCGCGAGCTGTGAGAAGGAACCAAACCGCGGCTGCAAGTCGTCTACAAAAGATCTATCGCTCTCACAGCATGACTCAGTCCATGGAGTCCAGGCTGCCCAGACTTGATGCCGACGCCTTGGCTTCGTCGTCCTGCTTCTCGCCTTTCGCCTTGCGTTTGTTCTTCTTTTTCTTCTTCTTGGAGCCTTCGGCCTTGTCGTTCTCGCCTGCTGCAGCGTCGTCAGCCACCAGTGGCTCGGGGAGGCAATCACAGAAGGAAATCGGGAGCTGCATCACTCCATCGCCTGCAGAGTCCTCTGTCTTGGCCTTGCGATACGCCTCCTGACACTTGACGGCGAAGACGAGCTGCCTCAGAGATGAAGTTTCGAGACACCGAAAGACTACGAGACGTGGCAACTGCCGACACCAACTTACCCAGCCTTACTGTTGCCAAGAAACTCTTGCTGGTTGAGTGTGCTCCACCAGGCCCCATTGACTGCAACCTCCATCACCTGGTCGTCATACATCTCGATTGCCACCCGCGCATCCATGCTGTTCGCTCTCATGTCTACGTGTGCCGCCTCCGCGATGGCGTCCTGCCTGCTGTGCTGCCTGCTGTGCTGCCTGCTGTGCTGCCTGCTGTGCTGCCTGCTGTGCTACCTGCATGCTGCCGCGCTGCTGGGCTGATGTGCTGTGTTGCCCGCGAGCCACGTGCACCCTAGCTGGTGGACCGCGGCGCGGAAACAAAACCTGAATGCAGGGACGCCGGGTGAGGTACCTACGGGTTAGGGTGGCAGGGCACTCACAGGGCAGACGGGGCGCAAAGCCTACTTCGGGGCCGAAAGGGGTAGGGTGCCCTGAACCAAACCAAAAGCAACCCCGGCGAAAGCACTCTAGCAAAATGTTACTGCAAAAGTCGGCGAGCCTAGCTAGAATACCACTACAAATCAAAAAAAAAACATCAGTGAGCAAAGGCGAGTGAGCATCTGTGAGCATCCTAAACCCCCACGGATCAGGTCGGCGGCGGCCACAGGCTCGCCGCGAATCGACACTGAGCGCACCCAGCCACGAAAACTTGAGCCAAACCTAGGGGACGTATCCACCGAAATCGCGCTCTCGCCACAGTTTGGTGTGAAACGGCCCGGCAAAGCCTTTTGGGCCATGCGCGGGCCTTCTCGAGGCTGGCTGTGTCGCTTTTGGCCGGCGGGCCCGGGAGGGTGTGTGAAACATAGGCAGGGCGCACCCCGAAGATCGGGGCCGCGGCGGTTCCGTGATGCCTGGCGATTTCGTGTGGCTGTGTTCGACCCATCCTAAACCCTCCCCGAGCACGTTCCGGGGCTTGCCGGCACCGATTTGACAGGAAAGGCCCGATCCGGCCGACATCGTGCTCAAACCCTAGGCGGGGCGCACACCGAAATCGAGCTCTCGCCGGTGCGTGGTCGGCTCGCAAAACGGCCGACTGCCCGGGGCCGTCGGGGCGCACCCTCCCCGGGCGGCTTCAAAATCCAAAAAAATTGGGGTGCGGCATGGTGTTTTAGGGGCATGCGCGTTTTTGGTGCGAAATGCTGTCAATGTAAAAAATGGATTTGGCGTGCCGGAACGCCACGGAGGAGCCGACCGAAGCCAATCTCGTGCGGCTGCTGGATCTGTGGTCGGCCGACTGGAAGCACCGGGGCCGCACTCGGGCGGTGGGGCCGGGGGCCTATGAGCGATATGCCACGCTGGGGCTTTTCGGGCACGGCGGTCTCCAATGCCACGGGCCTGCGGGCAGCCTGTGCAGCCGTGAACAGCTTTCTCAAGAGCCGCTTTCCGAACGGCACCTGGACGTCCATAGCTGTGCTCTTCAACCCGCGCATGGGGCTGCACCGGGACATTCAGAACATGCCAGGGCACGCGAATCACGCGCTGGCTCTGGGCGAGTACACAGGAGGGCGGGTGTGGATCGAAGATGACGAGGGGGACTCCACGGCCTGGCTGGCCGACAAGAAAGGGGGGCGAGAGCTGCCGGGTAGATGGCTCGACATGCACGACAAGCCGGTGAGCTTCGACGCTCGCCGGTATCACATGGTGGAGCCGCACGAGGGCAGCATGTGGGCACTCGCAGCCTATGTTCCGCAAGCCTATGCTCGGGCAACGGAGCAGCACCGGCAAGCGCTGAGAGAAGCGGGCTTTCCGCTGCCTCCGTAACATCGCGGTCCAGTTGCGGCCTTACCGTATAACTTCTCGAAATGACAGGAATGACAAGAATGACAAGCTCCAGCCGGCCGAGAAAAAAATAATTAATTAATTCTGGAAGTGAATTACTTCCGAATCACTTTTTTTCTACTTCGAAGTGAAAATTTTCGAAGTAGTTCACCTTCACTTCCACCTTCCAGGCATCGAGGCCATAATTAATTATTTAATTATTTATTTTTTATTTCGGCCGGCCGGCTGGAGCTTGTCATTCCTGTCATTCTTGTCATTCCTTTGGCTTGCACCCGGAGGAAGCAAGGAAAAGCGCTTTTCGCTCTCTCTGGGGAGGGTGTTCCAGCACTCCACTCTGTGATAGCTACAAGCCTTAGTTCGAGACATAGGTCAGAATTCGATACTTTGGAGCACTATCGATTCGCGGGCCTACGGCCCGCAGCTCTGACGATCTTAGGGGCTCTAAAGTCTTTGCAAAACGGGCTCTAGAGGAACTTTAAGGGCGCGCCTCTTGCCAGCAGCCGACGAGCGCCTTGCGAGCTGCTTGCTGGCAGCCTGCGAGCCACTTGCTGGCGACTTACGAGCCGGACTTTCGGGCCGCAACCCAGCAGCTTGCGAGCCGCAGCCCGGCGACTTTCGGGCCGCAAGCCAAACTATTTCGGGATCACCGAAAATTTCGGCCACTGTGGCCTCCTCCCAAGCAGCTCGCGAGCGACTTTCGAGCTGCTCCCACGCCCTCCGCGCCGAACAAGCGCGCGTAAGCGCGCGTCGCTCCCCAAACAGCTCCGGAGCGCGACAGTGCACCTCCGAGCAGCTCGCGAACCCTCCGCGTGCCCTCAAAGTGCTTCCGATGCCGCGCGCGCCCGTTTTGCAAGCACTTTTGAGCCCCTAAGATTGCGAGCCGTACGGCCTTCAGCCCTTAAAATCGACAGACCCTCCGAGTATCGAATTCTACCCTATGTCTCGAAACTAGCCTCGTAGCTACTACAGAGTGGAGTGCTGGAACACCCTCCCCAGAGAGAGGGCACGGGTCTGTGTTGCGCGGAGATGTGGAATTTACTGAGCAACAAAGTCCCTTGAAGCGCCTGTTGCGATGTTGTCCGTCCGTACTGAGGCGCAAGACTCCGAAGGTCGAGATTTGTGCAGCGGATGCAACCTGCGCAAAGCAACACAGGTCTGTATTTTCTGATTTCGGACAGGATTCTGCGCCTGTTTGGAAAAAGTGTCATTTGATCTTTGGTGTTTTTCGGTCTGCCTCAAATGTTAGAAGTGCTTTTGAATCAGGTTAGTGACCGCACTCGTTTTGTCTCGTTTCGTTTTGCTTCGAATGTTTTCAGCTCAAGTGAAAGATGCACACTCTGTTTTTCTTGGAAGCGGACTTCGGCCTCGCCTGTGCAAGGTAGAAGTTAAGAGTTCTTCTGGAAGGCACCTGTGCCAAGAAAGCATCAAAGTTACCTGTTTGGACCAGATTCTATTTGTCCGAAAAGTCCGCCTGCAGCTCAAAGGTGGAAGTGTTCTAGCTGCTGTGTCTGGAACCACCTGTTCGGACCAACTGCAGCACACGCGGCTCCAATTGTGGGGTCGAACAAGCTAAGCAATTTGGCTTCGCTTGAGTGGCCCCCCTCTGTTCTCTCATGTCTTTCACTTCCACAGGCAAGCTGTCTGTTGGAAATTCTTGTTCTTGGAGAATGATTTTTCCACACTGGATGCCTGCCTGTGGGCGGGTCGCCTTGATGTAGCAGTGTGTGTGGAATGCACGGGCTTGGCTTGGGCCCCAACATGCGAAATTCGCGACCCCAAAACAGGGGCCGCCAAGCGGCCCCGATTTTGGGGTCCTCTAGTTGCCAGTCAAAATATGTTAAAGGAGGTTGGCTGCATTTCGCGGCTCCTTTTCTGGGGCCGCGAGACGGCCCCATTTTTGGGGTCGCAAGTTTGATTCCTGCACCCACAGCGGCTGAATCTCGTCAGCTGTGCATGTCATTGATTGTATTGACTTTGGGGAGCGTCTGGTGGAGGACCGTTTGGAAGGTCGGAACTTGTCCAAAGCAGCTGTGTTGCTTGCCCTTA